CAAGCAACTTCCGGGACTGGAGTTTTATACGGCAAAAGGAAGGGGAAAGGTAGCAGATGTTTTCAAGCACATGAAACTGTCAAAGTTCGCAAAGAAATATCTGGTTTGGCAAGCCATCTGTACCTGTGGCTTGAAAAGCAGCATTTTCATAGCTTCCGGGACTGTCAACCAAGAAATTTACGTGAAAGAGTGTTTGAATAAACGTCTGCTGCCTTTCCTGAAGAAACACGGTTGTTCCGTACTGTTTTGGCCGGATTTGGCATCTTGCCATTACGGTAAAAAGGCCATGGAGTGGTACGCCGCCAACAACGTGCAGGTGGTTCCCAAGGACAAGAACGCTCCCAACACGCCAGAGCTCCGCCCAATTGAGAAATACTGGGCTATTGTCAAGCGGAACCTAAAGAAGACCAAAACAACTGCTAAGGGCGAGCAGCAGTTCAAGACAAACTGGCTTTCTGCGGCGAAGAAGGTGGACAAGGTGGCTGTACAAAATCTGATGGCAGGGGTCAAGCGTAAGGCCCGGCAATTCGGATTTGGAAAAGCGGAAGCCTAACTGAATATTTTTCCTGAATTTTATACTAATTGAACTTGAAAAAGAAATTTAATTTGATTTTTTAAATAAACGATTTCACCGATTTACACGCGTTTTCCCTTGACCAAATTTTGACCGTATCACCCTTTATATACGAAGTTATTGTCATAATACATTTTATAATTTGTTGCATTGGCATGGTGTGATTTATATTTAATTACTGTAGGCAAAGTGAGATGCCTATAACGGTGTGACAATTCTATGTTTGTTTCATTGGTTTCAATGTGCTTGCTAGGCTATTAGCGTATTGAAAGATGTAACATGATCCGCGCATTCGGGTTCGCTGTTCTGGGTGTAGCAAAGATAAATGAATAATTCTGTTTGTCAAGGCTATGGTAGAAGTGAACGCTACTGACGTGTGTGCAATTGCATGATATGCATTTTTCTGTCTTATCGGCAAATTTAGTAAGTTCAATTCTTACAGTGGTGTAAATGATTTAAGCTACATATGACAATAGTCTCGCAATAGCAAAGGAGCTTGTAAAATCAATATCAAGCATGATATTTTGTTCCTATATCACGCGTGATATTGGGAGTGTATGAGAGCGGAAAATATAATTTGATTGATGATTTTGCCAACACTGGTACCAATGGAATCCTAGGGAGGATGCCAAATAAATTGTGAGGAGAGTTTGAGGGGAGTTCCAAGAAGAACTACAAGGGATATCTGAGAAGAAATTCAAGGGAATACTGAAAAAAAAAATGTCAGGTGATTCTGAGGAAAATGTCAAGGTATTTTTTTTTTTTGGAGAATACCGGTGAAATAATATATTTGACTAACCATATCCCCGGCAAATATGTCTTTGTCGCCTTCTAGTTCAAAACCTGGCTACGCGCTTGTCCCTATACTTCGCGTTTTCACTGGCACTAATCTCGCCATCCAGAAGTTATACAGATTCGAAAATTAAACGCGATGCTTGCTTCTCTGTAGCAAACATGTAGATTCATTTTGAACTTTGCACATTAAGTAGATCGCCAGATGTGGACTTGCGCGGTAGTAAAGCAAATTGTATGGAAAAAGGATTCCGTCAATCGTTTCCTTAGCCAGGTTCTGTAACCTCCAACACGAAGTGTAGTTTGTTCTACAATTACTGCGTCACCGGATATTTCAAGAGAACTTCAGAACGAACACTTTTTCGACTTTCTACGAAACATCCACCTGTCCATCGTCGCGCAACAGTCACCTCGCAAAACTAGTATGTAGCTCTGCACGCACCGAATATTCCGTCCGTCGAAGTCGATTAATCATATCGTTCGGCGGGGCCGATCATCTGTATTTTTTGTTTTATTTCGGCGTGGAAGTCAGTAATTTGTTCCTTTCTACTAATGCGATGGTTCTTCTTCGACTACTATTTCCTATCTCACTATTCAAACCGGGCGATGGACGGTGCGAGCGATGCGATGCTCGAGTCAAAGGCAGTTAATGTAAATACTTCTTTTTTTGGTTGTTTGCTTGGGCTATAGGTACTCCAAGATGGATAATTGCAAAGTACCACGGTGCGAGCACGAATGTTATTTTGGAACCCGCCAGAAGCCGGGAGGCAATTGCTCGCCTAAGAGGTTTGTACTTGACCTTGAGGTGAGCGCGCGCGATGCGGCACCTTCATCATCGTCGTTACATATGTTCGAGAGGAATTAGTCGGTTGGTTTTGTTTGGATTGGATCACGCTTTCTCGCCTCTGACGCTGTTTCTCTCTGTCGCTCTGTGGATGCGGCGATCGGGCACGACTCATGTATTTACCATGATCCACAGAGACAACCTGTCTGTCTAACGTGCAGATCGCAACGCAATGCAGTGCAGATATTCGAAACAAAGTACTCGATGAAGACGATCATAACTCTATAATAATGCTTGCAAGAGGATCACCCATCTGTAGTCAGGGTTTATAGTCCAAGGGTATCTTCATTTGACAGCGAAGATGGTGCGATGAAGTGCGTACATGCTTCGTTACCTGTATTGAGATTTGACGTCACAAAAAATCCGTCACACTTTGGTGGAAAGACCACGGACATTAAATCGGCACATGCTAAAAGTTGATCACCGAGACGATTGAATTTCCAAATCAATGAAGGGGGAGGGGGGTAGACATGAAGCAACAAGAGGGTAAATCTATGCAAATCACTTCAAGCCGGTAGGACTTTGTTGATCAATTAGAATTCAACGAGAACTACTGTTTGTAGGTAGTTTAAAAGAACACGTTGATGATTGTAAAGTACTCTTGATTCGGTTCTTTGTCTCGATTCTATTTTGTTTGCAAATCTAAACTGATCCCAAGAATTGATGCCTGCAGATTTGATTGCGTCATCAGTTGTGGCAAACGTTTGTACACGCTGCTTCTCAGGAAGTGCTAAAGTTTGTATTCAAACCAGAAAAAGTTGTTCGTAATTTTTCAACGGATGATTTACAAGAGCTTTCAAAAACTTCACGAGACTTTGATGTCTTTCGAGGATAATTATGAGATTCTAGGCGATTATTAACAAACACCTGATGATACTCAGTTGTGGCCCGTAGCACTGGTAGATCCTCTCTAAGTGGTGCCTTACGGAGCAAGAACAACCACATCAACGGTGGTGACGGTCAAGAGATTCGTTTATACATTGCCGAGGAACTGAAATGGAATTATATTTAATATCAGTAGCATTACTTGTTTTTGTCACTAGGAAGGCTTATTTTGATTGAGTCATCCCAGAATTCTTCAAATTGTACGGAACATCACAATTGATTTAGAAGATCAAGGATGAATGATAACTATATGTAATAAGGTACTACGGCATGCACTGAGTTGGTCGCTAGGTTTATAACCCAAACAAGAAAATATTTGTCAGTTAACACTCCGAACACGATGCCTCCCGTAAAATGTTTGAAAATCATAGCCCAGCCATTTCAATTTCAAACTATTGGCGCCATTTAAAACTACAAACTTTAAAGATTTATTCCGTATCAGTTGATTTAAAATAAATTGGTAAATGGCAGAGCAATGACTTTTCAAACATTACCAAATTTCCGTTATATATTTTACGGGGAGCATCATGTTTGCAGTGTTAAGAGATACGTGTATCTACAATTAAATGTTGGTCTGAAGAAAACAAAATACGGCTCGCAAAAAGTTATGAATTGGTTCGTGTCTGATCAATTCTGGACAAATTATTTTTATCTAGATCAAAAAATCCTATGGTTTTCTATTGATTTGTATTTGAATTGTGAGAAGGACACCAGGTGAATTTTACGAAGAATTCAAAGAAAATTATAAACAGTATTCAAATGGTGTTCTGAAGATAATTTCAAATGAAAACTAAACTTCTTTAGTATTCTTTTGAATTTATCCTCAGAATACCCTTTAAATTCTGTTTATAATTATTCGTTAAATTCATCTGGTATTCGCGTCACATTTCAAATACAAGTCTTTTCAAAAAGTTCTGGCACAATAAGTGTTATAGTTTTAAAATTTTCAACCATATTGCCAATAAACGACGGCGTGCTTAAGAAAGTTATCTACGATGTGCTCAAAAATTTCCGAAATAATACACTTCAGAAATTTCGGATTATAAATGTGCTAATTAGTAGGCCATTTTCAACCAACCTGTCAATTTTCGGCAAGCGCTTCCAATAATTTGATATTACGTACCAGTGATGGAAAAGTTCGCAAAAAATCACTATGACTCGCGAACTTTTCCCTTGGAGAACTCGTGAAATATCGCGAACTTTTCCAACACTGTTACGTACACACAAAATTCAGCATATTTATAGTTCAGTGTCAAAATTTCAGCTGAATTGATCATAACTTAACATAGTTGCAACATGCCAAAGTTGGCTAGTTTGTATGAAAATCGGTCTATTGTGCTAATTTAAACTTTACTGTCTTCTGTGAGTATTTTTTGCCCGTTCTAAAATCTTTGAATATAAAAATCATCGCCAAAAAGCAGGCTACAGCAAGTACAGGGTCTTATCCTCTTTGCTAAAAAAAAATTCACGAAGAACTTTTATTAAATTCAACGGGTAATTAATATTGCCTACATTATCAGTATAGTTTAAGTCACTCCTTATTAAATTTAAATTGAAAAGGTAAAGTGAATAAATCTCCGTCAATCGACGGAAAGATCCATCTAAAAAAAAAAATCCAAAAACTCCACCAACAGTCGCCTTTCAGCCACCGTTTACACTTCTCCCACATGTAGTCATTCTTTCGCTGCTTTCCACCCTCCGCTTCCTGATCACACATCAAACTTGAATCTTCCACCACTGTCGCCGTCGGCGTCGATGTGCTATGTACGATCGATGTCGTTCTCTACGTACATTTTCGTCGCCGTCGTCGATTTCGATGCTCTATCATCACCCGGTTGCTAATGCCATCCATCCGAGAATCTTCATTAGATCTTTGCAACGCCAACCTATTCACAGTGTTTCGGTGACGGTGTCCAAGAGTGCATGCGCCCGTGCCTAATTCTGCTCAGAACTTCCTTTCCACACGGGAAACCAAAAAGCTTAGAATGCTGAAAGTGCTAGCTGTGACACTTTGCTGCTTTGGTCCAGCGCTTCCAATTTTGCTGCAGCGAAACGATTGCCTGTGTGATCCGGTGAATGCCTTTCTCGATTCACTTCCGCTTAATCGTGAACGAACAGTGAGTTGATACACGTGTTCAAGAAATTAGCACCTTTATATTTGCTCGTCTCGTTTGTTTGATGTTTGCAGGATCAATTGCTGGGAATCGACGGGTATCAAGGTAAAGCACACCGGGTCGTCACGAAAGATGGTTACGTTTTGCGATTGTATCAGATTTGGCGCGATCAGCCACCGGGAGTGAATTCTACCCGGGGAGTGATTTTGTTGCAGCATGGAATCCTGCATTCTTCGGCTGATTGGTTAGTGTTGGGACCGGGTCGATCCCTCGCCTATCAGCTGGTCGATCTCGGTTACGATGTATGGCTTGGTAACAGTCGGTCGTCACTCAACTCGCACCAACACGTAAAATTCTGCACTTGCTCCAAGGAATTCTGGGACTACAGTTGGCACGAGATGGGCATCTACGACCTTCCGGCGATGATCGACACGGTCCTAGCGAGAACCCAACAACCCAAGCTGCGACTGGTGGTGTACTCGGAAGCAGGAGCCCTGGCCATGGTTATGCTCTCTTCAAGACCGGAATATAACAACAAGCTGATTGCATTAGACGCCATGGCCCCGGCAGCGTTCGTCTCCAATACTTGGTATCGATATCTGGCTCTACCGTTCGCGAAGATCCCGAAAGTATTTCGGGTAAGTATATCAATTTTCTGTTTATTCTTTTCAATTATTTACACACAGTCCTGTTGGTCTTCAGTCTGCGTACGCACTGTACTCAACGAACGAGGTGACGGTGGAGGCTTGTGAAACCGAGAAGAAGATATGCACGGACTTGTACTACCAATTCTTAAACGGGGAAAGTGTCGGTATGAACCGGACCTGGATCGATCGGATATACCAGAGCATGCCGGCTGGGGCGTCCATCAAGGAGGTCTTGCACTATGTTCAGCTGATTTGGACCAAAAAGTTTGCACCATTCGACCACGGAGTGAGCAAGAATCTGAAGATGTATGGCTCGAAGATTCCCCCGGAGTATCCGCTGGATCGGATCTCAGTTCCGGTTAATATTCACTACGGGCTGCGGGATAAGATCGTCGATCCCGTGGGGGTGATGCGGTTGGGATCGCGGTTGATTAACAGTCCCCGGGTGAGGATGCGGCCATACGACGAGCTGCAGCATTCGGATTTCATCTACGGGGATTCGGCGTACGAGATTGTGTACAAAGATGTTCTGATGTGGATAGTGGAACCAATAAAATGAACGAACGAAAAGTGCTGGTAGAAATTTCGGAAACAATTGTGAGTGAGTGAGGGTGTGTGTGTGTGTGTGTGTGTGTGTGTGCAGCGCTGTTGGAATCTTGTTATTTGGCCATTATATTTAGCCACCAATTTCCTGTGACTCTTGATTTAGGTTCTTCCGAATAATTGCAATTAGTGCCAAGAAAATATCCCACTGTGGAAGACGATGAAACACCTCAAAAAGTCCCTAAAAGATACACACTTAAAAATACCCAATTTTACACGTGACGGAATGCATCTGTGACATAAAGGATGAGACGTAAACAAACAAATCATGTAAAATTTAGTGCTCCTAGACTGAAAAGTTCGTTACTTGACGAAAAGTACGTTTGATTGAGCTGAATTTCGCGTCTATTATGACTCAATTTTATGTCAAAATTGACGCTCGTATATGTCAGTGTCAGAGCATTTAAATGTACATGAATTTTTCAAAGTGTGTACACTGGACAATGTTCAAATACAATCCTTAGCTATTCAAAAATTACATCCACAATCCCCTGCCTTCCCGAGTAAAGTGTTTTATACCAAATTTATAACAAGTTCTGATGTTATCAAGGTTTGATACCAAAATATGTTATCGTTATAAAAAATATAACAAAAAATGCTAGTTGGATACCACAAAAATAACTAATTTTGTTATCATTGAAAACGTCTTGAAAACAAATCCTAGGATTTATGCAATTTTCTTCAACCAATTTCAAATTATGTTATCGATTTGATATTAAAGCCTCACGCTGATAACTGAAATATGATTAGCGGTGCAAAGCACAATTTTTTATCATGCGGATAATATTTAGAGTTTTGAACTAATGCTATGTTCAGACTACGGAGTTGTATCATGTTACAAGGCTATCTTGATGGCGTTTATCTTGCTGGTAATTTGAATAACACCCTGGTAACATGTTACAACTCTATAGTCTGAACAAGGCATCGTTCGTAAACAAATGGTACTTCATTCATGATAACACACAGCTCCCAGAATCTTGAAAATTTCTCAATGTCCGAAATATTGGTCTCACATTTTGAGAACTCACAAGTCCTGAAAATCGATAAAAAAAATCTCCTAATTTTTAAGATTTTTCTTAATCAAGAATCAATATAACTATTCTAAATTGAAAAGAAAGCTTTAAAGTCTCAGAATTTGATTTTTTTTTTCAAATCCTATAGAGTAAATGAACCAGTTTTTTGCCCAAGAGGTTCCCTAATTGGCTCTATCTTAATTTTCAGTTTTTTTTTTCAAAATTTATTTCCATACAGGGATAGGACATAAATTTTGTCATATCTTCATTTTCTTCGCATTTCAAGCGTATTACTTATCACATATTTCGTGCTCTCAACTTAGTGTTCTAGATGCACTTACACAGTTATTAATAGAGAGCTTTCGATACCTGTACCAATTTTGCATTAGTATAATTGTGTGGCAAGTTCAATCATACTCTATGCCTAGTCGAGCCTTTGTAGCTGCGCCTTTACCGACTGAGCTGAGGGAGACCCCAGATGTTGTCATATGTCTACGCGAATAAAGCCATGCTAATTTATTTCAGTTCGACCCTAATCTATCTAATCTAATACAAATGCAGCCAGTACGAGAAAGCATTCTAGAAAATGATTAGGTTAGATAACGCCTAACAATTTTTCTTGTCAACATTGATGTTTGCAGCATATGTTAGATATGACACAAACATCAAAACGGCCAGACCAACAATTTGCTTCATAATACTCTAAAAAAGTCCCTATAGAACACTCTTTGATTCATCAAGAAATTCTCATAAAACAAACATTTCTCGCTGTATTACCTAGGAATTCCCCAAAGAAATCACTTTACAATATATCTCCTCAGTATCCACTAAGTACCCGAGCAAAGATGAACATCAAATTGAAATCAAAATTTGCTGTTATGATGTAACTTATTTTGAATACTCCAGTTGATCTCACTTTGGTTGACTTAACGGTTAACACAGCAAAAATGAGAGCAACATTTTACACTGTTGAAACAAACGGAAAACTAATCCTGCTTTCAATTAAATCAATTTGATTACTGATTTTGCATTCATAATGTTTAACTGAATACGAGCCTAGAGTAAATGGTTACCATTCATGTTTCTCAAGCTGAAAGACTTAGGCTCCAATCTCACCGCGGGCAAGTCACGAATGTCCTAAAATGTGTTAAACAAATCAGATAAACGATAATCATTAGTTCAACGACAGATGAATTTCAATTAAATTTTAAACAAGACGTAAACAGCAGAACTTCAAGTTAAGTTGCTTTCATTTATAACGTCTTGACTGCATAATGATAGGAACTGCACACTTTAATATCGATTTGCTTTCATTTTGTTAACCGACTTTGCTCGGGTATTCTCCTAAAAATCCCATGAAATAGGGTAACCAACTTGAATTGGACCCCTACATATTTTGGACCCTTTTCATATATTTTCCTCGCTTACTGTCTAGTTTCTTCAAATTCATCTGGGTTGATGTTGTAATTACATTCTTTCAATTACTTGCTATGTCTCAAGATCATTAGTTCACCTCAAATTGCTTACAATTGCTCAATTTATGCAGTTTTAGAAAATGTTATCGAAAAAGTTTCATGTTTCGACGTTTGTCTAGAGGAATCGGCGTTAGTGTACTTGTTTTAAATTTGGTCTAAAATATACAATTCAATGATTTTTTTATCAAATCAGTTTATCTGACTTTGGAAGATGTATTTTACGTGTTTATAAAGATTTCACCTTAAGATTTTACTTAAAAAATATTAAATAAAAAGTGTCCAAAAAAGATCGTAAAAAAATGTTACCAACTTATTTTGGACACTTATCAAATGAGAATCATCAAAAGAGCGACAAAAAAAATCCGGTTGGTCGATCGTGCTATTATATCAGATTTCTGATTAAATTGGTAAGTAAATCAATCAAAATTATATGAATTCATTGTTTTTAAATATATTTCTTTTTTATCAGGCGATTCAAAATGGGAAAAACGGCAAAACACGTAGAGTGGTCCACTCTGAGTTTTCCTAGTTTTCCTAGTTCCTAGTTTTCCACAAAAGTTTTCCTGTCTCCCAAAGGCATTTAACTAAGGGGCTGTTCATAAACTACGTAGACGCTTTAGGGGGGTGGGAGCGCTTGGCAGATGTCTACGGTCCATCCAATTTTTTAAATTTTGTGTTTGAGACTGTCTTCTACGGAAGGGGGGGGGGGGGGTTGAATCTCTCAAAAACCGTCTACGTAGTTTATGAACAGCCCATACAAAAATAATATGAACTGCAAGCATAGAGTCAGGTCTCCGTATTAAGATTTACTTCTGAATGATTTTTTTTATGGTATGATCAGTTGTTTCCTTATGTTATATTATATTTCCTCCGTTACTCGCGCCAACTTTTGTAACACGAGTACTCACGCGTTGTACTTTGTACAACAGTGTGAGTTTTCCATTTCCATTTTGCAGCCGAGCTACCAATCGATCTGAAATCAACGAGTATTCCTCAAAAAACTTGCTTTTAACTAAACAAGCTAAATATTTATTACAGTTAACCCCCAAAGTTACTGTCTTCGAAAAAGTTGTTCAGGAGTTCAAAGCCTATAGTTCAGAATTTTTTCACTATATGGTGCTAGTATATACGTTAAATTCTCATATAAAATATCTCGAAATCCTGATCATATAAAAAGTTACTGTCTTCGGCAAAGTTGTTCAGGAAGTCAAGGAAGCCTTTTTGCTGGTGGACTTAAGTTCAGAGTTTTATCACTTTGCAACGCTAGTATACGTGAGGAATTCTCGCATATAAAATATCTCTAGATCCTGACCAGACAGAAAGTTACTGTCTTCGGCAAAGTTGTTCAGGATGTTAGGATCTTTTCGTTGGTGTACAGTAATTCAGAATTTTCCCTTTACGTGGCACTAGTATGCGGGTCATTTAGAGATATTTTATATGCAAGGATTTCACGTGTCTTTCAACGTCACCTAGTGAGAAAATTATGTACTTTCCACCAACGATAGGGTTTGATCTCCTGGACAACTTTGCCGATTACAGTACATTTTTAGCAGGTCTTGAGATATATCATATGTTAGAATTGCACGTATATACTAGTACCATGAAGTGAAATATTCTGAACTACCGTCCACTAGCCAAAAGGCCTTGATCCCCTGAACAACTTTGCCCAAGACAGTAACATTCTATCTTGTCATGCTCTCTAGTATTTTATATGAGAGAATTTAACGTGTATACTAAAACTACATAGTAAGAAAATTCTGAACTATTCTACACCAAGCAATAGGCTTTGACCTCCTGAACAACTTTTTCAAAGACAGTAACTTTCTATTTGGTCAGGATCTCGAGATATATCATATGCGAGAAGTGTATATGTATACAAACGCCACGTGGTGAGAAAATTCTGAACTACTGTCTACCAGTCGAAAAGTCTTGACCCCCTGAACAAGTTTGCCCAGTACAGTAACTTTCTAGCTGGTCAAGAACTCGAGCTATTGTATATGCGAGAATTACTAGCGCCTCGTAGTGTGAAATTTCTGAACTACTCCACCAACGAAAAGAGCTTGACTTCCTGAACAACTTTGCTGAAGGCATTTACTTTCTATCTGGTCAGGATCTAGAGATATTTTATACACGAGAATTTCACATGTATACTAGCACCACGAAGTGAGATAATTCTGAACTATTGTACACTAAGAAATAGGCTTTGACCTCCTGAACAACTTTTCCGAAGACAGTAACTTTCTATCTGGTCAGGATCTCGAGATATTCCATGTTGTAACCAATTAAGTCAATCCCACGTAGTATGGACACCGTTTACGCGGTTTCCATTTACATTTTCTCTATTATCCGCATTTTGGGGGTTAATTGTAATCAAAGTTTAGCTTTTTTAGTTCAAAACAAGTTTTTTGAGGAATACAAGTTGTTTTCAGATCGATTGGCAGCAACAAAATGGCAATGGAAAACTCATA